ATTTACTAACTAGTAGTAGGACGAACGACGAACGAAAACTAAACTAAACGTAAACTAACTAACTACTTACTTACGTACACTACTAAATAAGTAATAGTATACTACCTAACTACTACTACTACTACTATTACTTCTCTCTCTCTCTCTCTCTCTCTCTCTCTCTCTCTCTCTCTCTCTCTCTCACAACCTACCAAAGGGGCACACCCCACTTACAACATCTCTTTCTCTCCATTAGAAACTTTCTCTCTCTCTTGAAAGCCCTAAGGAGGGCGCGCCCTACTTTCTCTCTCTCCTCCTATGTTTTCTCTCTCATCGTGTATCATGATCTCTTTTGGGGTTTTGACTATAGGGTTGTAGTAGAAAAGAGAAACATATCTCTCAACCTAGGTTGCTAAAGAGATTCACCGAAGGGTTTGAGAATTTGTGATTAAGGGGTTCATGTTCCATTGGTGTGGCTTGTCCAAAGTTGCTTTCTCAGTTGAGATTGAAGGTTGTCATTAGATCATACGCCATCAGAAAATGGTGACTCGGTGTAGAGTGTAAGAAGCCCGGTTGAGGTAATCTCTGGTACCCTCTTTTGTTTCTTACTTATTTGTTTTATTGTTTTCTTCATTCCTAAGTATAGGTTGTGTCTTTTCTTTTTTAATGAAAAATGTGGTTATGAATGGCTTCAAGTTCTTGAGATTCTATTGTATGCTTTTTTTATTATTATTTGAAGTTATTATATTGTAAAAGTACTACTTGTGAGTGATCTATACCGTGAAGTAAAAAGTATTGAAAAGAAAGAAAAATTATTATTATATACTTCGGCTAGATCACACGAGTCCTTCTTTCATATTTCTTCACTTGATTTGAGTTTTGGATCTCTTCAAATCCTTCTATGATTTATATCAATAGATGTTTGGCTTCCCACTTGATTAGATGATGAATTTACCAGATTTTATAATGTCATCGCATTTCACCCAAGAAATATAGCTAAGACCTAAGGCCGTAAACCAAGTGCCCGAGAGCTCCGATTGGCTTCTCATGGTCATGGTGCATACACTTGAGCATATGTATATAAAGATCATATTATGATGTTATTTTTTAAGTCTATTTATGTAAAATTTTGCTTTGTAAGTTTGAGTGGTACTGAAAGTTTAAGAGCATACTACTCATGTACAGCTTGATGATTTACACTCATGGTTTATTTTATCCTTGTAAGAGACTCTAATTGAGTTACATCCTCTCTCTTTAGTGTATTTGGATGCTATTAGCTCACTGTTATTATGATCTTGCTGTAATTTGAAATTTCGAGTTGTAATTTCAAGTGTATTGTAAGATTTTCAAGTATATAGCTTGTAGTTTGCCTATCTTTTGATTCAAGTCAAGAGCATCGGTTTCTACACACTCACAAAATAATCATTCTATATTGTGTAGAAATATTATAGCTTTTGAAAGTTAAGGCAGTTTCAGAGTTTTTTTTTTAGCATCGATGTGGTTCAAATTCTAATGAAGAGTCCAACTTATATTAGAGTTAAGATTTACTAATGTTTATGCTAAATTTTAGCTTATACATAGAGGTCGGTATGGTTTTTTTTTCTTTTGCTACAAATTTTTGAGATGGTTTTCTTTTATCAAAGAGATGCTAGAAACTAGGCAATTGGCATGTAAGCTTTCCCCTTTTACTTTCAACCAATTTATTAGAATTTTTTTAGTCTTCCCTTTGTTCATTTTGCATTGTCATATCTGAAAAGAAACGGGGGGACGGAGGAACAAAATTTCCCAAAGCCAACCTAAATGGGCTTTCGAGTCCATGTACAAAATTCATATGAGCAAGTGTTTTTGTCATTCTTAACCACCTGAGAAAGCCCAATGGGCTTTTGAAAAAAGTGATACGGTGGCCAGAGAACTATTATAATATCCGGGGACAAAAACTCTTATGACACTGTTAACCGCATCGAATAGCCATAACCACAGCCAAAGGTCATGGAGCCCATAAAACAAGGCTAACATACGGCCATTAAAATGTTAAGAAGGCATGCCACACTTTAGAAAGGCCTGCACTAAAAGTCAAGGACATGTAATCTCTAACATAGAGACCACGAATATGATAAAATAAATAAATTTTAAAAATTAAAAATAATAATTTTAATAATAAAACATTTGGCCCGTTAGTTTCCATTGTTTTTAGATGGAATACCTACTTGCATCTATTTTTAAGATGGATGCTTTACACTTTCGGGATCGCATGAGTAGAAATGCGGTCCAGCCCGCATGTGTAGATATGTGGTCCATCCCGCATGAAACAAATTTCCTTATACATATACTTGCCCATGTGGGATTGAAAGTCATAAAATGCCTAAATAGAAAATTGCCAAACAATGTATTCATACCATATAGTTGTTTTGAAACACCCTTTCCGAAAAATCATATTAGCAGGTGAGAAACTTTTGAAACCTGCACACTTAAAATAGCTCGGTCAAAATAAATAAATGTTTTTCCTTCATTCATGAATAATTCTATGTCTAATAGACTTGTTAGGATGTTCAAACTGGGCCTTATCTTGCACTCTAGCAATTATATCAAACTTTTGGTTGTTAAAATTCAAAGCGCATACTTCTTTAACTATTTAGTATTTCTTTCTACATAATCTACAATTCCAAGGATTTAGATTGAAAGGGTTGGATCCATCAGGCAAATCCCGATGCGGCGGAAACACAACAACACATAGATTGGATAGAGATTACATACTTTTTTTCCGATTCCAATTTCCCTCATGCGGTTGTTGGGATCTTTCGCTTCCTTTTATATGTGGTCCCTCCGAGTCAAAAGTTCGATGCCCACAGCCTCAAGCTAACTTTTAATTATGAGAACTAAAAGTACAATATACACAACATAAATCCGAAACCTGTGATGGACAGCCCAAGAGTTCTTGACTCACCATTATGGGTTTTTTTTTTTTTCTAGGGCTTCTGCAGAGAGCAACTAGGATGAGAGGGGGGATTCCCTTTTCCCTTCTCTCAACTAGAAACGAGTCAAGCAATACCATGGACGTCATCTATTTTAACCACTAAGAATATTAAAAAATCCATGGAGGACCCTATAAAACACAAAGGGCGGACTCCAAATCCAACCTAGGGGTTTCAAAGGACTGATGCTTAATTTGGAGAATCACTACCACACAATATCTTGAGAATTATCTTTCAAAGTAACACCTGTTTTAATCTTAGAACTTGCTTTCAAACACACATTTTTCCTAGTCCCACCCACATATAAAAATATTACGTCAAATACCTTGTTGTTGGTATTCCAAGGAGCCTATTAATATTAATACTCAAACTAGACATCAATATGTCAAAATTAGTTATGATTGCAAATAGCGTTTTAAAGCCTGGAGCCCACTCATTGTACCAATCAGATTGGCCAGCTCAGTTGAATCTGTGAAATATGTATGGGGCGATTCCAGGGGTAGACACAGAACGCCACCCACCGAATCCAATTGAGATCAATGATCCCCTGCGTTCATTGCATGATTTTAACCCTGATTGCAATCATTGCCTGGTAATGATAATGCGCAAATGTGTGTAAAAGACTTGGCTGTTGGCAAACACATTACGCTCTCTATAGATCTGTAGTTATGCTGTCACAAAGTAGCTACCCGATCGCAAATAAATGTATGAGAAACAAATTCACGAGAGATGCAAGAGGTTTTGGAAGCCGTCAATGACCAAATTACAGTCGCATCGGCCATGTGATATGTAATTTTGATATGCAGGAAATGCTCACCTGTGAAAGTCATGACAAAGCTGTTACCCACCCTTGCTGATAACATAGAAGGATCAAAAGATGACGCCTAATGGAGGAGTCCACAAATTTGTGGGGGACATTCATTGAAGTTCCGTGGACCCAACGTTGTAGTGGGCTATTTGCGACAAACCAATCAAGAGACAAACATGAAGAAAATTTCAATTGCTAATGAGGTTTATCTGATCTCCATTGACCACTCTAAACTTAAATCTCCATCAGAAAACACCGTGCTTTTCTTACTTGGCATGAGGCACATTCATGGTAATTCTGATGGCCATCACTTGAGCTTTTACAAACCATTTACGCATGGATTCCCAATGCATTCCAGACAGAGTCATTATTGATAGGGGTCACCCCAGAAATAAACAAGTCTCAAGCATTCTTTTCATCAATAGATTTCTTTTGGAAAATAGCAGAAGTTTCTAAAAACATGAACTGCTTCTTCAAAAAAGCATACAAGTTAACTGAGGACCAGCAAATGATTTGTATCATGTTATAACCCATTCCACAAATACATCACAATGATGGAACGCTTAAAGAAGTGCCGTAGTACATCATGAACCATGAATGTTTTTAAGAGCCCATTTGACTCACCTGCAAGTCTTTATTGATGAAGGGAAAACAGGCTTTTTAATTTCTTTTTTCTTTTTTTTCTTCCAGTGCTATAGATATTTCTTTTTCTTTTTCTTTTTCTTTTTTCTTTTTTTCTTCCAGTGCTATAGATATGTCCTTTGACAAGTAGGGTTCCCAAAGTCCATGTACAAGTCTAGGAGCCGACCAAGGTGGGCCATTCTTCATTCCCAATAGGGCGGAGGGGCAGAGAGCTATATCACAAAAAATTGGTATGCCCTAACAGTGATGAGTCATTTTGACCAGTGATGAACTTTTAAGAACAATTCAGAAGGCAACTATATCTCCTTAATTATCAAAACATATTGGCGCCACAAAAAGCTAACAACTAAAATCCATCCATACATTTAGAAACCTCATATAGCCTTCTTGTCACATTATTCATTGGACATCCCTCATTCGGATCCAATCAAGGAACAGAGTTTCATATAACAATTACAACATAGTTATGGAGCCAGACCATCAAAACTGGATTACTGAGTAAACAACAGCCAGAAACTGTCATGAAATTCTACTAAATAATGCTTAATGAGAGAGCACCATGAAGAATGGGGGAGAAAAGGAATAAAATTAGAAAATACAATAAAAATAGCAGCTCGAGTTGAGCGACTTAAATAGCAAGGCATGGAGTAGTAATAGCAGCACATGCATGCAACCATCACCCCTTCGTGACGAGAAGCAAAGAAAGGGATGGAGTGCAGAGTAGGGACTCAAAGAGGGCGTGTTCGGCGGCCAGATGCTCGGCCACAAAGCAGAGCATTTCGAGGAATGGGGTACTCATCTCTCCATGAATTTACAGGGGAATACACACGCAAATAGAACTGTTGGCCTAAATATTGTCGTGGCCAATTCTCTGATCTCAAGTTCCACATACCCACATTGTCCAGTGCCACATAAATGGCTGTCCATGACTTGGGATACACCTGCTCACATCAAATTATAGTAAAACAATCACATTTACTCCAGGCCTAGTTAGGCTGACAGATGCCAAACACACACAGATGTTACAGTTAGGCATTACTCAGTTTTCTTTTTTATAATTATAACTCAAAGTTTCCACAAGAGCATTTTCGGGGGAATCAACAAGCTTTTTATTCATAGGAAGGATAATCATGTCATTCTTAAGCATTTGGAAAAGTAAATATGAACTTTCAAAAAAATGAAACATAGTGAATGAAGGAACATCCATCAATCTCCCACCCCCAAGATTCATCGTCAATAGACAAACCAAGAATTAGTCCCACATTTCACCTGGGGACTTCTTATACATGTGAAACTCATTAGGAAGTGGGCTGCACAAAATCGGAAATCCCTACTACATCACCAATTAAAAAGTTTCTCGAAAAAAATTACTTTTATCAAAATAATTGATATATGCCATTATGCACTGTTTTTATATAAAAAGCAGGAAAGAAAGATCCCTAACCTGGGTGGTGCAACGGGCAACTGTGTCACGCAGGTTATAATTTTGCCTGCTTGCTTGTGTCCACTGCCCTCCATCCATTCTGAACAAACTCCAATTGGTACCAATTAATAAAAGAAGAAAGCGATACACACACACACAAAAAGCAAAATTTAAAAATACAACTTACAAAGCATTTTTTTAGCCCAATAAATATAGTCCATCCATTTTAGTGCGATGCTTAGATCTAGGCGTTAAAAGGATCTTTTTCCTTTCCAAATATTTTGGATAGTGTTCCTAACATTAGATTAACAGTGTTAAAAAAAAAAAAAAAATTGATTTTGAATTTATCAAGATTTAAAAAAACATATTGATGACACAAATCAGTCACACCCATACCCATGTCGGATTGGGGGAATCGGTGGATCAGATCGGAAGAATCGGCAGAATCGCTAATTCTTGTTTCAAATTTTTTTAAAAAAAAATTCAAGAAAAAAATGTTTATTCTTTTTCACTTGACTTGTGAAGAATCGGTGAGAATCAATGAAGAATCTGTCGGACTCGTTGAAGGAATCGGCGGTTCCACAAAAAAATCGACGATTTTACCATTTGGAACCGCCCAAATCCCTTTTTTTGGCCTAATCCGGAGTGTCTTGGGCAATTCCCCATCCGTATCCGGTTCCGGATCAGGTCACCGATTTTTTAAACCTTGGAATTTATAAAGGCTCAGATCTTGAAATTCACCAAATGGACAGTCTAAGTTTTTTTAGGGAACTTATTTTGACCATATATATGATGAAAATTGAATTTTATTTTTTTGGGATTGATTATTGGGATGAAGAAAGTGCGTGCAAAATTAGGGATCATACAAATTCCATAAACATGGCTTTCAAGAAATATAGTTTTATTATATCATAATGACATAGTGACAAGAAATCATCTATCTATATATATATATATATATATATACATATATATAATTTTTATATAGAGGCTCTAAACAATCAAATTAGGGCGCACCTCAAAAATTTCACTAAAAGAGGTTGTTTTCATGCCCAAATATCATCAAATTGATCATCTCGACCTCAAGATGCATGGACATGAGAAATAAATGGATTTCAAGTTTTAAAAAATAGCGCATCTTGTAGTGCATTTTTTCTTTTGTCTTCTAAGAATGTTGAACCTTAATCTTGTAATGCATTTTTGGATTGTCAATTGTCAAGATTTCCAAGTTTTCATAAATCTGCTCGATCTACACTATTTTTGAAGATTTAAATCTTATAATTAGAGATAAAAATATACTTTAAGGCTATCATAAAGATTTCCAAT